CGAGATTGGACCTCAGCAAATACTATTCGTAATTTTCTTATTTTCACAATCATTGGAATTAGGTGGGAAAATCGGATAGTGTGACAATTTATACTTAGAACTTTATTGTAGTGACTTACATCATTGTGCTTAGTTTTTTTTTTTCGATCTTTACTGTTTAGCAATCTGTCCATTGTTGATATCACTGATGTCCTTATAAAATCATTAATCAAAAAACCTCAAAGACTCAAAAAAATGCTTGCTGACCAATGGTAGAATTACTTATTATGCCATTTCAGTGGGTAAGAAAGAAATAATTTTGCGGTCCTTAGATCTTATATTTTCTGGTAGTTTCTCTTCGACAAAACAATAACCTCGAGGTGAGATATAAGTTTGAATACTAACTGTAAGCCGAATCACATCGTTTTACGATTGAAATAAGTCGAAAATCTTGTGATATCATTGGAATGTAAACATTTTCAAAAGCATAACATAAATTTCAGTTTAATTCTAACTTTTTAACTTATTAATGCTTTTATCAGAATTTGTTAGTAATAGTTTATAAATAAACTTTCCTATTATGAATACTTTCGACTTTTTTGTTGATTTATTGAGCAATGGAAAGTTGTTTAGTTTTGTTTGAAATCCCTAATTGTTTGTATTTTTGTAAAAAAAAAAAGAAAAAAACATTACCAAATTATTGTCACCTGATAAATATTTCATTTATTAGTCAACTATTAAAAATATGGACTTTTCCCAGTAATTGTACATCAATCAACGAATTAGTTAACTTTAATTTCACTTATGTTTACTTTCATGTTTTTAACAAAAAGTATTGCCTGTTTTATCATCTGATCTTTTTTTTTTTATACTTAAATTGCTCAAGTTATATTCAAACTGTTTAAATCAACATTAGAAAACAATGAAATAGGATAAGATTAAACTGTCAAATTGGGATGGTAAAGCAACTTGATTGCAAACACTTTAAATTTTTATTTCTGAATGATGCAGGATATGCGATGCATGTGGTTACGATCCAGTTTTACAGTTAAGAAATTCCGAATTGATTTTTAAAGATTATCTAAAATGTGTTTGCTCATTGTTTTTGTAACAGACGTGAATCGAATTACTGTTCATTTTTTATCTTTTTACGAGTAAAATATGATTATGACATGATTGATTTCCAGAAGAATAATTCAAAAAGTATAAGAAAAAGATGTTGATACCTGGGGAACTATGTTAACATTACTTTTTTTTTAATTCTAAGAGAACCTATAGAGAGTTCTTTTTCCTTCCTTCGCTATCAGCTTGTCATAACATCATTTACTTCATTTGCTTGAACATCTTTCTGGATTTCCGAGTGCGATGAACGTAGGAAGTGCCCGGCTCAAGATCTCCTCGATAGCTTGGTCCAGTTTCATGAATAGCTGCTGTTTTAGTGGAACGTGGTGGGCAAGGGCAATAAGCTGCGTCACCACCTGGTACACCAGGTAATCCAGGCTAAAATTTAAATCACTCTTTGGAAATATAGTTTTTTTTCCTTTTTTCTCCGTTTTGGGAAAAATATAGTAATGTTAGTTGAAATTTAGGCGCATAAGGAATGCAAGATTTCATGAAAAACATACCACTCCTGGTTCACCAGGTGTTCCGGCTGTACCTGGTTGTCCCTGTGGTCCTGGAGATCCTGGTGGACCCAGTGGACCAGGTCCAGCAACTTCACCGGGTGCACCAGGTTCTCCCGCTGGACCCATTGGACCTGGTGCCCCTTTTGGTCCTGGTGCACTGCGTCTTTGTGCTCCTGGTAGTCCAGGTGCTCCAGGTGGTCCCTCTATTCCTGGTTCACCTGAAAAAATTATAGAATCACGTAATTTGAAGTTTTTCTTATTACTCTGAAAAATAAATATCCAATGTAAATGTTAGACGATGAATTTACCTGGTTTTCCGGCATCTCCAGGTTGTCCCGGTGGTCCTGGCTGCCCTATGCCACCACCATTACCCGGCTTGCCTGGTATTCCAGATGGACCAGGTGGTCCTTTTTGCCCTAACGGACCTGGTGGTCCTTGTGGTCCTGGTGGACAAGTAATGCAACCTCCGCGCGTATAGCCATTTGTTGATATAGCAATACCATCTGCACCTGGCTTACCATCCATGCCAGGCTCACCTGGTTCTGAAAATTCCAATAATTTCACTGCAAATTTTATTTTTCAATTTTTTATATTAAATGCTTTAAACACATTAAATTATTAGAAGTACTTTTTATGTTAAATGATCAAAAAAATAAAGCAATCATTGAAGCCAATTATGAAAAATACCTCCTGGTAAACCAACATCTCCTGGTGGTCCAGGTGGTCCTGATGGACAACTTAAAGCTTGTAGAGCACATGCTGAAAGATCATTTTATAATTACTTTTGATCTGATGGCGATAATTTATTCAAAAATTTGTTATCGCTACAATTATACAAAAACAAATATTCATGTTTGCATATCTTTTCACTTATTTTTTAATTGACTTATTAAAGAAAAATCGTTTCATTTCATCCTTTTTTTTTTTGTTCAAACTGTCTTCTTTAAATAGTATTTTTGATAAATTTCAACTTACCACAAATAGCACGACGTTTTTGACGTGGTTTTAAACCAAGCAAAGTTTTAAATGATTCCTTCTTAGGCATAGCTTGCATTTTATTCACATGAACACTCATTATCTCATCCCATGCATCATTTGCTAATGTCTAAAATTGTGATACTTTAAATTTAATTCTAAAAATGTTTGATCATTGATCATTAATTAACAAGTATTATATAATGAAATGATATGATATCATTTTAATATTCCTTTAAAAATTATATATAGATAAATATGATTGTAACATTCTATTTCAATCATCCTTTTCTTTTTTTTTTTTAATCAATAAAATATCATTCATCATCCTATTTATCATTTATCACCATTTATCATTTATCATCATCATCCTATTCTCTTTGGTAAGTAACTATTAGCTTTTTATAAATTTTCATTTAAAAAAAATTATCACAAAGAAACCTTAAATTCATAAATATCATCCAATACTTCATAATAAAAGCTATTAATATCCTGGAATACAATACCAACAATAATTAATGATGTAATAATGACTAAACCGCTTGCAGCTGATGCTACATTAACAAGCGTTTGTGTTCCCATTCCTGAAAAGAAAAAAAAAAAATCAGTTTTGAAAGAAATTTCATGTGAGTTTATAGATGAATCGTAAAAAAAATGAAATTAAATGAAATTAAATGAAATCGATGAAAATTATTTTTAAAATAAAGAAATATTCAAGTATTCATTGTTAGCAATAATTTTTAGTTCTATTTAAATTCATAATTATTTATTTTTCGATGATAACTTTTTCGTGAAATTTTCATTTAAATAATTTCTCAAACATTTTTGCAAAAATATATATTTATATGAAAGAAAAAGAATGATCGAAAATTATTTTATTGTATATTTTGATAGCATTCCTTATTGCATGTTATGATTATTAACATTCTTATTTGACCCGTAAAAATGTGGCAATCGATAAGATTATATGAATAAATAATTTTTTTGTATGAATTTAAATGAACAAATTAATGTAAGGTTAAAAAAAAAAAGCAAAAATTTTTTCATCTTGTTTTCTTGCTTTCAGTGAAATAGAAATAAAAAAAAAGATTAAAAAAAAAAATTAAAATAAAAATGTTCTTTTGCTATCCATATATCTTATCAGTTTGATTTGATATTCAAATTAGATTAAAAAAAAAAAAGAGGAGAAAAAGAAAACACCTTTGTAGATGAAAGAAAAACGATGAGCATATGGTACTTCGACAGCAGTTATATAAGTATTTTCGATACATTTGTAAAACCCACCCATTTTTAAAAACTTGTTTTTTAATGAAAGAAAAAAAAAGTTAGAAAAGGTAGGAAAAAAAACGGAAATTTGTCGTCCTTTCATTTTTTTTTTTTTTTTTTGTTTTTCTTTTTGACTAATTTTTGTTTCGATTTCTTCGTTTAAATACAATAAATACCTTCTATTTGTATAATTTTTTTTCTTTTTTTTTACTGTTTTCTTATTCATTTAAAAGAAAAAAGATGACATTTATTTTTCCGTTTTCAAAATACAATCAGGAAATTCTTCAATTTCTCATTGTTCGGATTATTTTCGTTCCGGAATTGTTTAAACTTTCTTTTTTTTTTTTTTTTGTCAGTAATTTTCCTCTATTAGATGAGAAATATTTATTTTTCTTCATTGAAATGATATTTTTCATGTATGAAAAAGAAAAAAAAATGGGAAAATTAAGCATTAATTAATATTTAAATTTCAAATTTACAACAAAAAAAAAATGAAAATGAAAATTGATACTTTAAAATGCAAAAATATTCATTCAATCATTTTTTAACAACGATTTACAAAGCATTTGCTAATTAAAAGATTCCAAATAAAGCAATATTTCATTTTTTTTTATTGATAGCGAAAAAATCTCAAAAATTCTCAAGAATAGTCCGAGAATACTTTCATTAATTATCATCGTATTAGTTATCATCAACTTATAATTTTTCATCACTTATCATTTATCATTTTCTTCAGTTTCCTCATTTATCATATCTTTTTTTTTTTTGTCTGCGAGATAGTAAATTGGTTACATTCTTTTCGACCTACTTCTTTTCTACCGCCTAATTCTTGCTTTAGAAATTAACATTTAATTAGTTAATAATTGGGTCATGAAGTATGATGTCATGAAATATAAAAAAATTTCAGTTTTCACAAATATTTTATCTATTCTTCTTTCATTTTTATCATAATTTGATAAAAACTGATAAATTCTTTTTTTCCGCTTACATTACTATTCAGTTTGACTCATAAATTTTTTTGACTATAATAAGAAGTAATAGTTGTATATGGTGCTGATAATGTTGATAAATAGCTTTGATAATGCTAATAAATAGCATTGATAGATAACCAAATCAATTATACAATCATACATCAGGCTAAAACACTAAAGCTAAGATTTCTTTTATAGCAAACAATTTTGTCCTTCAATTCATATTTTTTATCTATAAGGGAGTCAACATATGATAACATTTTCATTGGCTTAGCTAAAACATTCAAAATTACTAGCAGCCCATATGATGTTCAAATTTGCTTTAACTTTATTTTATTAAAATTACAATTTTTATCAGTGGCTAATTATCCATCCATCATACAAATTGACATTTGCGCCATACTTATGAGCATGTTGGATTACATACAATTAAACAACACAAAATATAATTTTCCAATTTTAAATTGTTATTTTGTGAAAGAAAATGTTGTTCCACCTTTTTTTTTTTTTGTCTTTTCGGTTCTTGAAAATTTTCCTTTAGAAATTTTATAATTTCAGTTCTTTCGTCATAATTGAAATTATTTAACATAGTTTTTGTTAATGACTAAAATTAATTAAGGAATTTAATCAAGAATTGATCAAAGAAAGAAGGAGCTATTGCTAAGCAAATAGTTTGTTTTTTCTTTTTTTTTCCTCATAGAAAGTAAAAACTGTTTATGGCAAATAATATTTTTAATTTTCAGAAAACTACCTATTATAGCTGATTTTAAAAACATAGAAAAAACGTTCTAAAAGAGTGAAAAATTAAAAAACAATATTTTATATTAAGATATTTTATTTTATTTGCAATATTTTATTTAAAACATAATATTTTATATTAAGATAATTTATTGGAAATAATTAATGCTTTCATAAGTATAAATCATTGCGAGGATACTGAATGAATAATGAAGTAATTAATCATGTTAAGTTAGCTTACTGAAAATAATTGAACTTTCTTAATTGTAAAATATTGTGTTTTAAAGTATTCTAAAAGAATGAAGAATTTATTAATTATACTGGAGATAGTTTTATTGAAAATAAATTTTCTAAGAAAAGAAAAGAATGTAAATTACTGTGACGTATACTAAGCTAATGAAGAATTAATTAATTATATTAAGGTATTTTATTAGAAATAATCGAATTATCTTAAATATTAATAGTTGTAAATAATGTAAAAGAAATATTACATTTCATTTATTATAAAGCAACAATTTAAGCAAATGAATAAATTGATTTAATGCGAAAAATTGGTGAATACATTCATAGAAAGAAAGGAAAGTAATTTTGAGTAATAAATGACAATGTTCATCAATTTCTCATAGTAATTAATTAATTTATTTATTGTTGGTTGTCACTTTGTAACAAATCAGGTCGTTTAGTTGAAATGAGCAAAATGAGATAATAAAATAAAGTTTGAAAAAATTAAGAAGAGTAATTAAGAAGAAATTCGTTTTAAATTGTCAAATGGTATTATGAGTGAAATAGTTTTTGATGATATTGCCATTTGTCATTTATAATAATAAGATCAAGTTTACAGTATATCCGTTGATATTTAACCGAAACGGATTATATTTGCATAAATGTCATCATTAATATCGTAATAGATTCTAATTAATAAATAAAAGATAAATTAGGGGATACATTCATAAATTGTTTCATTTTCGTTTATTTTCCTTTTAATTACATAATTTGTTCATATCAGCTGTGCAAATTCATAAATAAATTCGAATTTGATTACATATTTTCTTTCGAATAATTTTTTCAAATAACACTGATTATTGTAAAAGATAACTTATTATGTTTTCATTTTGCGCTTCTTTCGATTAAAAGCAGGATTGATCTTGTTTGAATAATTTTATTAATGATATGATAATGTGGAAATTTCAATTTATCTTTCGATTTGTTTTCAATTGGAAATTTTACAATAAGAAAAAACAATTTCGCATTATCATTATGAATTAATAAAATATAAAATATATTTTAATCGAAATTTATCATACCAATAATAAGATCAAGTTTACTAGTATACCATTATTGAATTACTAAAATACGAAATATATATTTGCATGAATTAGTAAAATATTGGATTATATTTCCATAAATTAATAAAATCTAAAATATATTTACGTGAAAATCATTTTTTTTTTTTCAACTTAGAATATTGGACAGTAAATATAAATACGAAACGATCATCAGGATTATCGTTAGTGAAATGAATTCGGGAAATTCTCATTGTAATAAGAATAGAGTAAAATATATTTTCAGATATACTTTCATTATTTGACTATT